ATCAAGAGATCGAACCCCCGTGGGTGGGCTCTGCACACACTTAGCACAGAGTTTGCTTGTCCCTCTCCCCTTCCTCTTTGGGCCCCTCCCCTGCCCACCTCACACACCTGTGCACATACTCTCCATCTCTCTCTCAAATAAAATCTTAAAAAAAAATTTTTTTTTCCACATAATAGCTGGGCTAAATGTACAAGACTGTTCATAATAGCATTATTTCTAATAGCACAAACTGGAATTAATCAAAATGTTCATCAAAAGAGAGGAGATAAATTGAGGTATACTCATACAATAGAATACCATAAGCCTTTATGGAAAAAAATAAGTTTTAAGATTTTATTTATTCACTTGACAGAGAAAGAGTGAGCAGGAACAGGGGGGAGAGGCAGAGGGAGAGGGAGAAGCAGACTCCCCGCTGAGCTGGGAGCCCAACATGGGGCTTGATCCCAAGACCTGGAGATCATGACCTGAGCCAAAGGCAGACACCCAACCATCTGAGCCACCCAGGTGCCTCAAGCCTTTATGAAAATTAAACCACAGCTATTTACAACAATACAGATGTATCCTTAAAAAAAAAAAAAAAAAAGAAGGGAATGATTAACCAAAAGTCAAGGGAAGAGCTGAGTTGTGACTGGAGAGAGATATATGGCAGCTACTGGAGTGCCTTCAATATTCTTTTTGACCTGTGTGGAGATTACACAAAGGACTGTTTTATAATTATTCATTAAGCCATACATGTTTTATGCACCTTTCTATGTGTATGATGAATTTTATAATAAAAAAAAGAAAAGACGATAATGGAACAATGCTTGCAAAATTATGAAAGGAAATTATTCTCAATCTAGAATTCTACACCCATCAAAATTCTAATTTTGAGAGTAAGAGACATTTTCAAACATATGAAGCCTCAAAAAAATGTGCCATGTACATTTCTTCAGGTAACTATTTGAGGAAGCCCTCCATCAAAATTAGCACATAATCACAGAGAGGAAGACCTCAGATCCAGAAAATACACCCTAACACAGAGGTACAGGAAATCACAGGAACAACTGTAAATACCACTGTTCAGAAGCCCCAGGATAACTACACACAGCAGTACCAAAGTAGTACCAACCATAGAGGGCATTTTAAGGGCTGTCATCATGTGATGCTCCATTCCTTTGTACAACCTCTTCAATACAAAAAGTCCTGGAAGATATGCTCCACCAAGAGGGTGTAAACCCAAAGAAGACAACAAGAGATCTAAGAAACAGGACTCAGGGGGTGCCTAGATGGCTCACTCGGTTAAGCAGCTGATTCTTGGCTTGAGCTCAGTTCATGATCTCAGGGTGGCAGGATCCAGTCCCGTGGCAGGCTCCATGCTCTGTGCAGAGTCTGCTTGGGATTCTCTCTCTCCCTCTCCTTCTGCCCCTTCCCCCTCAAATAAATAAATAAATAATTTTTTTTTTTTTTAAGATTTCATTGATTTGCCAGAGAAGGAGCAAGAGAGAGAGAATGAGAGCACAAGTAGGGGGAGCGGCTGGCAGGGGGAGCGGCAGACTCCCTGCTGAGCAAGGAGCCGGATGCCCTACTCAGTCCCAAAACCCTGGGATCATGACCTGAGCTGAAGGCAGACACTTAACTGACTGAGCCACCCAGGCACCCCTAAATAAATAAATCTTAAAAAAAAAAAAAAAAGAAAAGAAAAGAAACAGGAACTCAAACCCAGGAAGAAAGGTAAAGAAAAGTTCCATGGTTCCATTCCTGTGTAATAGGCCTAGATAAGAGAATCACTAACTCCTGGAAGGGTATCTCCAAGCCGGGGGGTGGGGGGGGGGAAGAGATTATCTGATGTAGCTAACTTTGTAAAAAATTGAGAACGATGTGTACTTGTGGAATTAGCAAAAGGATAAATAAAACTAAAGAAATGACAAAGCAAATATTAGCCTCCAGAAAAACAAAAAGAAAGAAAACTGATCATAGTATAGAACATTGCTCAGCTGAGAATATTTACAGGCACCAGCAGTTCCTAAAGTGTGGTCTAAAGATCCCTCAATGTCTCCTTTCAGGGAATCCACGTGGACAAAACTATTTTCATAATGATCAAAGACATTTGTCTTTTCCACTATGTTAACATTTGCACTAATGGTGCAAAAGCAATGGTGGGTAAAACTGTGGAGGCTTTAGTATAAATTAAGGCAAGAGCACCAACTGTATTTATTAGTAGTTGTATTCTTCACCACATCGTATTTGCAGTTTGGAGGAAAAAAAAGCCAATTTGAGTTAAGAATGTCCTTGATGAAGCAATAAAAATTACTGATTTTATTATCTCAATCCTTGAGTATACATACTTACATTTTTTAATATTCTATGTGATTAATGCATAAAGTATTCTGCATAATGAATTGTGGTAATTGGAGGAAAAGTCTTGTGTTTGAGTTGCAAACTGAACTAGCCAATTTTTTTTTAAAGAAGGAATGACAGGAAAACTATGTTATTTGGGGGTACTGGATAGAGGTTTTCTCAAAATGAATAAAGGGAGCCTATCGTTTTCAAGGAACATGACTGGCAGTATTTGTTGTCAATGATAAAATCTGATCTTTCAAGTGAAAATGAGAATTGTATCCATCACCATGAACTTGATAGCTTCCTAATACTGATAAGGCTGGTGATGATATTAATAAATGTTATTTGGAAGATCTGCTTATCTCAGTGAGCCAGTATTTTTCAAATGATCAATTTATGATGTTTAAAAACCACTGTTAGGTAAAAATCCCATTTATAGTTCAAGATAGATCAATGAGATTTTACTGTAATAGAGTAGGAAAAGTTCACTGACATGGTTTCCAATAAGCTTTAAGTAAACGTCACTTGTTGAGTTTTAGTGAAATAGCAAAGAATATCCACAATTTTTTTTTAAGATTTTATTTATTTGAGAGAGAGGGAGACAGCACAAGCAGGGAGAGGGGCAGTGGGAGAGGGAGCAGCAGACTCCCCGCTGAGCAGGGAGCCTGATGTGGGGCTCAATCCTAGGACCCTGAGATCATGACCTGAGCTGAAGGCAGGCGTTTAACCGACTGAGCCACTCAGGTGCCCCAAGAATATCCACAATTATCTGGAAAAGCTATTAACATACTCCTACTTCTTCCAACGATTTATCTGTGTGAGGCCAGGTTTTCTTCATATATTTCAACTAAAAAAATATACCACAACTGATTAAATACAAAAGCAAGTAGGTATGATAATCCAGCTGCCTTCTAGTAAGCTGAACAACAGATTTTCTTTTTTTTTTTTTTAAAGATTTTATTTATTTATTTGAGAGAGAGAGAATGAAAGAGAGCACATGAGACGGGGGAGGGTCAGAGGGAGAAGCAGACTCCCTGCCGAGCAGGGAGCCCGATGCGGGACTTGATCCAGGGACTCCAGGATCATGACCTGAGCCGAAGGCAGTTGCTTAACCAACTGAGCCACCAAGGCGCCCCAACAGATTTTCAAAAAATGTAAATCAATGCTCATTCTCTTTTTTGAAAATATAATTATTTTTCATAAAAATGTTATCTTAGCATGTAATAAGTTTATTATTTTAAGTAATAAATGAGTATTTTTTAAAATTTCTCAGTTTTAATTTCTAACACAGTAAAAATACTAAATGATAAGGGTTTTTAGAGGGTAAAGAGATTTTCTCCCCTGGGCATAATTTATTTTTGCACAGGCATAAATTAGAATCAGGAGGTATAAAATTAAGAATGAATAGTGCAGGGGCACCCGGGTGGCTCAGTCAGTTGAACATCCGACTCTTGATTTTTGGCTTAGGTCATGACCCTAGAGTTGTGAGATGGAGCCCCACCTGGACCTGCTTAAGATTTTTCTGTCTCCCTCTCCCTTTGCCCCTTCCCCCATCTCTAAAAGAAAAGAAAAAAAGAATCAATATGGCAGCATTTGTGACAGGAGGGATTCTGAAACCAAAAGTTCTCAAAAAATTTGAGAACTGCAGGCACCAGCATCATAATAAAAACCAAATATGGATTTAACCAAAATTATTATATATTATTTTGGGAAGGTGGAAGAGAAGCAGAGCTAATCAAGATGGTTAATAAAAGATAGAAATGTGCTCTGAGCTACTTGCCAGAAATAAATACTTTAAAGATTCATGGTTCCACTTATCTAACAAACCTCATTTCATTCTAACCTGTACTGTCTGTCTTCCTTACTAAATGATGATCTCCTTAAAAAGCCAGAGATGTGGTTTTCTTCACTTCTGTGCCCTCACAAGGCCTCATTACAGCTTGTATCATACAGCAAGTATTTACTAATTAACTCAATAAGTGAAAAAATAAATGACATAATCCAATTCACAAAATTAGGTCATATTAGAGCAAATAACTGTTTCTTCCATTTTTAAAACTTATATAGCAGTATTGGAAAGTCATGTTTTTTTTTTTTTTTTTTGGAAAGTCATGTTTGAAACTTAAATGAGATCATCATTCATTGTATTCTTAAGTCAGTGATTCTGTGACTCCAAGACCACTACTGATTATGTAAACACAAGGGAGGGCGCCTGGGTGGCTCAGCTGGTTAAGCGACTGCCTTCGGCTTAGGTCATGATCCTGGAGTCCCGGGATCGAGTCCCGCATCAGGCTCCCTGCTCGGCAGGGAGTCTGCTTCTCCCTCTGACCTTCCTCCCTCTCATGCTCTCTCTCTCTCGCAAATAAATAAAATCTTAAAAAAAAAATGGCTTTAAATACAAGGGAAACCACATATGCACGCACACATTTGTTTTCTTACCTGTTGTAACTTACAAAAAATACTCTTGAATTTCAATAACAAAGTTTTTTTTTTCTCTCCCCTATACTCACCCCCCATCCCCCTGCCCTTCGATCTCTGTTGACTTCTTCAACCCTTTAGTCCTTCTGGATTACACCTCACTTTTGTGTACCATCACCCATCTTTAGGTTATCATGACCAACAAAAGACCCTGAGCAGTTCCAGGAACCTACAGAGAAACTAGAGAAAAATAATCTTACCAATAGTATGATTCCCATAAAGAAGCTGCTCCAAAATTGCTGTTTTCCCCACAGATAACAAGCCACAGACCACAACCTTGCAGCCCTTTCCCATCTTCTCTCAGGATATATCACTGTGAAGAGAATAAAAGACCTGTGAAACTGTACACTGTTTGAATCAACCGTTTTTCTTTTTTTTCTATGTTTAAATAAGTCATACATACACAGGGGATAATTCCAAAAATAAAAAAGGATATATACAATAAGGCATATCCTTCCAAACCCCATTCCTAGTCTCCCATTTGCTTCCTTAGAGCAATCAGTATTACCAGTTTCTTGTACATTTTTGCAGAGGTAATCTAGATAAACACACAAATACATGTAGCTATGAATACAGGTTTATTTTCAAAAAGAAAAAACCATTTTATACAAAGACTATTTCAACACTAAGTCTATAGGATCTAAATCAAATCCTAGATGAAACCAATCCTTGAAAGACACTGCCTGCTCATCAATATTTACCTGGAAAAAAAACATTTAAGCAAAAATTTAAGGAGGCGTGAAGACAAAAATCTGGATAGAGAACAGACATGATTTTTTAGAGAAACACTAATGCTATTAATGCCATCAGTCTTTTCTCAGGAGAGTGAAAAATTGGGTTTTGGTAGCCACGTGGGCTCTCTTTGTCACACTTCTTTTTGAGTCATGTTTTTTTTTTCTCTAAGATTTTATTTATTTATTTGACAGAGAAAGAAAGAGAGAGGGAGAGAGAGCACAAGCAGGGGGAGCAGCAGGCAGAGGGAGAGGGAGAAGCAGGCTCCCCGCAGAGCAGGGAGCCGGATGCAGGGCTGAATCCCAGGACCCTGGGATCATGACCTGAGCTGAAGGGAGATGCTTAACCGACTGAACCACCCAGGTGCCCCTGAGTCATGCTTCTTAATGCTAGAAAAACTGCTCATCCTAACATATCCAAGGAAGAGCAAAATTGGGTAACACACCCTTCAAGTTTCCTTAAAGCTTTTATTTTCCGGAAGTCAAGATACCAGAAACCAGGGCAGAAAGGAAAAAAAGCTCACTGAATACAACAGAATAACTTGATAAGAGAATTTAAATTTCCACACTGCCTTTTGCCATCTCCACCACCTTATTTCCCCCAATTCTCTTCTTACCTAGAAATGTAGAACATGCAATAAATGACTAAAAGGGATGCCACAACTCCTTGAAGTGAGAAAGCAACTACACCAAGAAAGTTCAGATAAGCATTCAAAGGGCTTCCAGGTACCTTTCTGTATATGCACGTGTGTTGTACCTTAGTATTGTTTGTTTTAACCAATACCAAAAATAGTAAGCAACAAATGAACTTCCCATAACTCTATTTTCTCAAAGTCTGTAATATTTGTTTTAGAGAGAGCAAGCAAGTGTGTGAGCCAAGGTGGGAAGGGCAGAGAATCTTTTTTCTTTTTTAGGATTTACTTATTTATTTGAGAGAGAGCGCACACACGAGCATGTTGTGGGGAAGAGGGAAAGAGAATCTCAAGCAGACTCCACGCTGAGTGCAGAGCCCAACACAGGGCTCGATCACACCACCCTGAGATCAGACCTGAGCTGAAACCAAGAGTTGGACACTTAACCGACTAAGCCACCCAGGTGCCCCAAAAGTCTATAATATTTTATGACCCAAATTAGTCACAACACCAATCTGCTGACAGGAAAAATTTTACTGCTACCATTATTGTAGCACAGTAATAATACAGCGCTCATTTCCAGAGCAGTACACTACATTTTACCAGTAAAGAAATAATCATCACTTAACATAATGTAGTTATTATTTCCTGGTGGCATGCTTGAGATCCTTCCAAATCTTCCCAAGAATATTTATCACCTATTTCTATGAGAACTACTTCTCTTAAGGGAGACACACACACACACATACACACACACTCACACTCACATATATTTTCTTAATCTCTATGCCCAATGTGGGACTTAAACTCATAACCCCAAGATCAAGAGTTGCATGTTCTACCAACTGATCCAGCCAGGCACCTCTCTTTTTTTTAAATATATTTCCAACATAACTGCAACAGAAAAATTCTCAGTCTTTATTTGTAAGAGGAGAGCTCTGTGTCACCCTGATCATCTATGGTATGATATCTCCTATATCAGCAACAATGGACTATTTTAAAAGGTTTTCTACATCTGAATTTATGATTAATCTAGTATCTCACTTATCGTAGGATTCTACTCTTTTTGCATATTGTGGTTTCCTAGAAGTTTATGATATCACTGAATCTTTCTTTCAAAGGGTTTTTAATGATAATAGTTAAAATTTAAAGGATGTTGCCACTTAACCACGTGCCACCAAGAGGATGAAAAAGAAATCTGTCAGAGGATAAGAAAAATGTTGGCAGCACAGAACAATTCTGTTGTCAGAAAAGGTTGCTACTGGAATCTAAATTCTAATTTTCTATTGTTATTTCCCTTCCTCCAAAAATGTCTTAGTCCCAGCAGAATTTCTAAATACCTTCCCTTCTCTCCTCTTCCTTTCAATCAAAAAAACGTGCCTTTACCATACATTATATCAATCTTCAAATAAACACAAGTGCTTTAAAAGGGTAGGTACATGTTGTAGTTAAGTGAACCAGATAGTTAAAAGAAAAAACACCCCAATTATTAATAGCAATAGACTCCCCATAAAAGGGAGGCAAATATGACTCCTGGGGACTGAAGCAAACTGGGAAAGTGCTGAAACCAACAGAATCTTAAGAAATCCAGAAATCAACTACTCCAGTCTTTGGAGGTGGTCTTAATATATCTGCTTTAAAAGTGGCATGCTACAATTATACATTGATCACTCACTGATATTAGGATTAGCAGATGAAGTGTGTTAAAAATACACATTACTTTGAATGTGTGTGTATAAATAAACTGGGGGAGTTGTTTCAGTCTATCAGGAGAATCTCCATCAAAGGCAAATAATAAAAATAACTGAATAGAGGTTACTCAAACACTCGGTAAGGATTTTAAGGTATTTGGGGCGCCTGGGTGGCTCAGTCGTTAAGCATCTGCCTTCGGCTCAGGTCATGATCCTAGGGTCCTGGGATCGAGCCCCACATCAGGCTCCCTGCTCCGTGGGGAGCCTGCTTCTCCCTCTCCCCCTCCCCCTGCTTGTTTTCCCTCTCTCGCTGGGTCTCTTCTGTCAAATAAATAAATAAAATCTTTAAAAAAAAAAAAGGATTTTAAGGTATTTTACAAGGAAAGAAGCAAGATAAAACAGAATAATCCATGTTAAATATTTTACACCACCAAAAACAAAACAAAGATGAAAGGATAAATGTGATTAGTCAAAGCATAGCTAAAACATTCTAGGTTCTTGTCTTCAAGTGGGAAACAATAATATTACCTAAAGCTGAAGATTAGCGACCTGCTAATTAAAGTATTAATTCTTTTAAAAAATAGTATCTAATGTTTTTTAGTAGGCTCCACACCCAGCATTGAGCCCAATGCAGGGCTTGAACTCATAACCCTGAGATCAAGACCTGGGCTGAAGAGTAGACACTTAACTGACTGAGCTACCCAGGCACCCCAGTTAGTATCTAATGTAAAGCACTAGTTAGAACTACTTGGTAGAGTCCCTACTCTAAGTAACTGCTGTACAATAAAATTCAATCTGTGACCTATTAATCCTCATCTGATATAAATGATTTGAGAGAACAGGCTTAACAGGCAAAATCCAATGCAGTCTTAACTGCATATTGCTTTGCTTTCCAGGCTAATCAATGTTTCTACAGAATAAAAACATGATTTGATCCATTCCTGTGGAAAACACTGAGCTTAGTCAATAATCCCCTTAAAGAGCTATCAGAAACAGTTGCCAAAACTGTCAGTACTTCTGTTTTTCTAAGGAAATCATTCTACTTTTTTTTGTTTTAAGATTTTATTTATTTGACAGAGACAGCGAGAGAGGGAACACAAGCAGGGGGAGTGGGAGAAGGAGAAGCAGTCTTCCCTTGGAGCAGGGAGCCTGACGCGGGGCTCGATCCCAGGCCCTGGGATCATGACCTGAGTCGAAGGCAGACGCTTAATGACTGAGCCACCCAGGCGCCCCAAATCATTCTACTTTTATAAGTAAAGCACAACTGTTTTTATGCTACTAAAACAACAGTAATACTGTTAACACTTAACATCATAGAGAGATGTTATAGATCATATTATGAAGTCCCGCATGGAGAAAACTTATACACTGTGTATTTATTTATGCAAACATCAGGTACTGTGTGCAACACTTTTACTTATCTATATATGAATAATTTTACATATAAAAGGTTTTGTAAACAATATTGCACACAATAAAATATAATGAGCAGATTCCAGCTTACCATTCTTTTAATCATTAAGTATTTACTGAAGTCTTACCATAATGCCAAGCATGAGGGACAAAACCAGGGGGGCAAACAGAAATGATACCTGCTCTCAGGAATCTCAGAATCAATTGGAAATACCAATCCAAATCTTCCAAAACTACTGAGCAACTGTAAATAGCAAATGAAGAAACAAAACTGCAAAAACTAATTAAGAAATTAGCAGCGATTATTTGCATTGCCAGAACTCCTTTCCAAATGATTCATCCAACTTTGTAGTTATTTTTTTTTTGACAGACACAGCGAGAGCGGGAACACAAGCAGGGGGAGTGGGAGAGGGAGAAGCAGGCTTCCCACCAAGCAGGGAGCCCGATGCGCGGCTCAATCCCAGGACTCTGGGATCATGACCTGAGCGGAAGACAGATGCTTAAAGACTGAGCCACTCAGGCGCCCCTGTAGTTATTTTTTTAAAGTAATCTCTATGCCCAACTTGGGAGTTCAAACTCATGACCCTGAAATCAAGATCGCATGCTCCACCAACTGAGCCAGCCAGGCACCCTTTTTTAATTAATTTTTTATAGCAATCATTCTTGACTTATTTTTTCTTACACCCCACATCTGATCCACCAGTAAAGCCTCCACCTTCGGAACACATCCAGGGCTGGATCACTTACCACCTCCACCAATGAAGTGATCAGAGGCACCATCTTCTCTCACCTGGTCTCTCAAAGATGTCTATGTGATAATCCCTAAAACCTGTGAGTATTTTATTTGACACAGTAACAGGAACTTTGCAGCTGTGATTAAATTAAGATCCTTGAGATGGGGAGACTATCCTGGATTATCTGGGTAGACCCAATGTAATCACATGTGTCTTTATAAGAAGGAGAGATGTGTGTCAGAAAGAGAAACAGAGATAAGAAGATGCTATACTGCTGGCTTTGAAAAGGAAGGGATCAGGAGCCAAAGAATACCGGTGGCCTCTAAAAACTGGAAAAAGCAGGGGCGCCTGAGTGGCTCAGTTGGTTGAGCATCTGACTCTTGGTTTTGGCTAGGGTCATGGTCTCAGGGTCAGTGGATTGGCCCCTCCACCGGCTCTACCCAACATGGAGCTGGCTGGTCCCTCTCCCTCTGCTCCTCCCCCTGCTCTTGTGCCTCACCCCCACTCAAATAAATAAAATCTTTAAAAAAAAGCGGGGGCGCTGGGAAAAGCAAGCAAATGGATTCTCCCCTAGCTTCTCTAAAAGGAACACAGCAATCTAATTTTAGCCTACTGAGATTTCTGACCTGTGTAAAACAAATTTGTGTTATTTTTTTTTTTTTTTTAAGATTTTATTTATCCATTTGAGAGAGAGAATGAGACAGAGAGAGGGAGTACGAGAGGGGGGAGGGTCAGAGGGAGAAGCAGACTCCCTCCTGAGCAGGGAGTCCGATGCGGGACTCCTGGATCATGACCTGAGCCGAAGGCAGTCGCTTAACCAACTGAGCCACCCAGGTGCCCCAAATTTGTGCTTTTTTAAGCCAGTAAGTTTGCTATTACTAGCAAAAAGAACTAATACAACTTCCTAGTCTCTCTGCTTCAATTTTTCCCCTTCTTTTGGCCTCAAAACTGCAATCCAGATAATCCTTTAAAAAATGTAAGTCACAGAAAGTCACCCTTCTGCGTAAAATCTTCCAATAGTTTTTGATCTCTGGCAGTGTGAAAACCCAAAGTCCTCCCTAGGAACACTTCACCTCTCTGATGTCATCTGCTCGTTTCCTGCCACACAGCCTCCTTGCTGTTTCTGTATGAATCCAGGCATACTCCAGCCTATTTTCCTTTGGATTGAAATCAGTCCAAATCTCCAAGGCTCACATCCTTCGGGATTTTTCTCAAATTTCTCAAGAAGACTAATCCTGAATATTCCATCCAAAATTTTGACCCCCCCACCCCAACACTCACTATCCTTTCCCTCCCCTTAATGTTTGTCTTTAGTACTTTTTACTGAACATAATACATATCTTATTTATGTTTTTTGCCCGTTCACTGTTGCTGCATCCCCAGCAGCTGGGACACTACCTGGCACATATTAGGCATTTCATAGATATTTCCTGAATAAATCAATGAACCTTGTGAGGACTCCTGGAATGATAAAGCTACGATTTAAAAAGGAAAATAGGAAATAAGGAGAGAAAACCAAAACCGGTAATAAGTTAGAAGGTAAACTACATGACTGCGTCAAAAATGAAAATATTCTGGAGACGCAAAGAACAAACTATTTTTCAATAAAGAACTCAACACAAAACGCCAGCATTTTCTCGGCATTTCTTCCCAAAACACTCGTACCTGATAATCAGGTCTTGGCACAAAAATATTTTGCCTTTCTAAAAAAAAAAACTGGTTCTGACGTAGCAAACCTGGGACCAAGTCGGTACGCAGGAAAGGCACGGAAATGAAAAGGCGCCGAGCCGCCCGCGCTCCCCTCTCTAGCCCCCCAGTTCCCCACCCTCCGACCCTTCTTTAGGGTAAAATCCCGCGGAGCGGGGCCTGCGGAGGCTGAAGCCCGAAGGCATGGCGCCCTACCCCCCGCGAAGCCCCGGCAGCACGAACGTCTTATTTGGCTGCTGGGGCAGCGTCGCGAGGGTCTGTCAGAGCGTCTCCAGGTCCAGTCTAGTGGGCTAAGGGGGATGGATAGCGCCGCACTGGGGAACCCGCCGCGACTCCTCAGGTGAGGAGACCGCCGTGCGTGAAGCGGTTCCCTGTACCTCAAGACACAGACCTGGACACCTCCACAGGCTCCTAAGACAGCGGTACTCTGGCAGAGCGGCTCCACGACCGGCTTCGGCCACCTGAGCCCCGCCCCCAACTTGCCTCCTCCCGCCTGCAGGACGGCCCTGGACGCTCGCCCGCCGAGGCCTGGCCGAGGACTCTCGCCCTTTGAGCCGCCCCTGCCTCTCAAACTCAAATCCTGAGGGCCAGGGGGCGGGATAATAGGGGAGGCTGCGCCCAATCCGGGCCGAACTCCGCCCACCAGTCTCCCTGCCGGAACTACATGTCCCATGAGGCTGTGGGAGCCGCAGCTTTCCACCGGAAAGAGGCTCGCCGCTGTGGGGGAGGAGCCCAAAAAGGATTGTGGGAGAAAGGCTCTTTCCTTTCCGTCCGGCGGCAGCCATCAGGTAGGTTGTGTTGGTGGAATTCGCAGCTGCATCCGCCGCTCATCTCCCTTCGCCTCAGCCATCCAGACTCGGGGACCCTGCGTCCTCGGAGCTCCCCCTGCCTCCTGTGCGGCGCGAGTTCGAACAGGATGCGAGGCTGCTAGGGCGTGGAGAGGCGGCCCCCGGGGCGGGCTAGGGTGGTGATGTGATGGCGGCGCGAATTCGAGCGGGCCCTGGAGCGTGAGGGAAAAGGAAGCATGGGGCTGAGGGATGGAAGGCCGGGCCTAGAGTGTCCTAAAGCGAGGCCTGCGGATTGGGTGCAATAAGGGATTTTTTCTTCGAAAGTTATCCTTCGGGGATAACTGCTACAGCACCTTTCTCTAATGGTATCGGCGAGGTCTCTGCAGGCCAGACCCTTAGGGACGCCGCCTGCCTCATTCAGCAGCCCTCCTCAGTACCCAAGTCTAGCGCCGTTCATTCATCCAACAAAAATGTACCGAGACCCTCCCTGCGCTGCTTCGCGCTGGGGTCGCAGAGGTGACAGCGCCGCTTTCCTAGGGTGCAGCTATTCCCTACAGTTGTGGAGAGCCATTTTCAGCCTCAGTGGTTTCCTTGTGGCTGGTGGGGAACTAAGATGGACGGGCGCGATCGTCTCCTTTTAAATGCATGATGTTTTTTTAGCTCAAAGGTAGGCCAAGATGGGTGCTTACAAGTACATCCAGGAGCTATGGAGGAAGAAGCAGTCCGATGTAATGCGCTTTCTTCTCAGGGTGCGCTGCTGGCAGTACCGCCAGCTCTCTGCGCTCCACAGGGCTCCCCGCCCAACCCGGCCCGATAAAGCGCGCAGGCTGGGGTACAAGGCCAAGCAAGGTGAGTGGTCTCTGCATGGATGCTCGGACAAAATTGTGTTCCTGGGGAAATGCTAGAAAACTGTTGATTAGAGGTACTATGGCCCCAGTACCTCAGTGTAGAGTGGAAATGAGAAGTTACTCTTCCTGTGTCATAAAGTACTTTGAAAAACACTGGAATGTGTTTCTTTTTAGAGTAGGTCTTAAATGGGTATTTATTTTACCTTTAGATCTATAGTATTTGGCTTATAGTCCAAAGTATATTCGACATTGCAGCATTTAGTAGCAAGTTACTGAGTCTTGATCCGTACAGCTTTTATAAGACCACTGTAAATTTGTATAGGTTATGTCATATATCGGATTCGTGTGCGTCGTGGTGGTCGCAAACGCCCAGTTCCTAAGGGTGCTACCTACGGCAAGCCTGTCCATCATGGTGTTAACCAGCTAAAGTTTGCCCGAAGCCTTCAGTCTGTTGCAGAGGTAAGTGATTTTTCAGTAACAGTTGTATCTGTCGCCTCCTGGAGATGGTGGAGAAGGATTTGAGCACTTTTTTGGTTAACTTGTACCTACGTGAGCCCTATTGTGTTTAAAATGGGGTTTGTGATTTTTTACTTCATCGTTTACTTAGTAAAGTGTTGCTGTCAAAGTCTTAGTATTTGTTACTAATTTGGCTTTGCTTGTGAATAATGAAAAGTGTTTTATGGTTAGTGTGAACCTTGGAACCTAAGCTTTTGAAGGCCAGTAAACTTGTCTTGAAGAGCACATCTCCCCAGGTGTACAGAAGCTGCATTTATTCATATGGCTAATTTTCAATGTTCAGTTGTAAGTTGTCTTTCTGGGTTAGTAAATGAAGCTGTGCTCTGTCCCAAAGGTTGGCAAACAAGGGTTTGTTGCCTTCTGTAAACTAAAAATGTTTTATTTTTGTTCTTAAAAGGCAAAGACGACTTAAACTAAGGAGACTATTGTGGCCTGCAAAGCCTAAAATAATATGCTAAGTAGTATTAAAGTTTTGTATGAAGTTTGCTGATCCCTCAGTTGTATTAGAAAAGGACTAGGTTCTTAAATTTTGTAAGATACTAACATTTGTGCCTTGGTCAGGAAGGGGGTGATAATAGGTAATGGTTTCAAATCAGAGCATGTTTCATGTATTATTGTAGTAAGTCTTATCATATTTGGGGTCCTAGCCTCTGGGAAGATGCTTACAACTACTGAGGTAGTTAAGTGAACGACCTTAGTCTCTTGTCTAGTGTGGTAAACTAAAGGGAATTCTTACTTCCTAATTTCCTTCTATGGGAGATTGGAGGCTGACCTTGGGCCTTTTTTCCTGTTCCAGGAGCGAGCTGGGCGCCACTGTGGGGCTCTGAGAGTCTTGAATTCTTACTGGGTTGGTGAAGATTCCACGTACAAATTCTTTGAGGTCATCCTCATTGATCCATTCCATAAAGCTATCAGAAGAAATCCTGACACCCAGTGGATCACCAAACCAGTCCACAAGCACAGGGAAATGCGAGGGCTTACATCTGCAGGCCGCAAGAGCCGTGGCCTTGGAAAGGGTCACAAGTTCCACCACACTATTGGTGGTTCTCGCCGTGCGGCATGGAGAAGACGCAATACTCTCCAGCTCCACCGTTACCGCTAATATAAGTAATGTTTGTAAAAATTTTACCTAATAAACAATTTAGGACAGTCATGTCTGCTTAAAAGTGTTCTTTAATTTGTCTGTTAAATTTAGTTGTCTGCAGATTGTTCATGAATGCATTGTCAAATTATGAAAGTTAAAGTGCAATAATGTTTGAAGACTTTTAAGTGATGGTGTATCTTGTTTCTAATAAGATAAACGCTTTTGTCTTTGCTTTATCTTATTAGGGAGTTTATATGTCAGTGTTTAAAATGCTGTTTGGTATAATAGGTGTAAAATCTGTAAACGTGGAATGCAGAAGCTAGCCATGTAGATTTGTTGCATGTAATGAAACCTGCAGCTTCATTGGGGTGATGTAATGCTCTGGTTTACTCTCAAATGGCTGTTATTAGGGGTTTGGAAAGAACAAGCTTTTTAAACAGGATTTTGCTTGGAAGTGTGAAGAATATCCTAATCTTTAATCATGATCATATGCAGAACGGTGTTAAGTAGGAACCACAATTTCAGGTTGAATCCAGTATTCATTTATGTAACTACGGCTTTGGAAAGAATACTTTAAAAGAATGCCACCATTTTTTTAAAGAGAATTGAATCAACCTACCTGTTACAGGAGGGTTGTCTTAAAAATGAAAATAAATCCTGCTTAACTGAAGCAAAATTGCCTTCGTCTCCACAGTATTGGAGTTTGAAATTATTTTGAAGTTAACATAAAATGTAGAGGCTCCTGATTCTATCCCATGACTCCATGGGATCTGTAGAATACTGAATTTCCTACAAAGCAGTCAGTTAATGGTGTTTACTCTGGTGTATATGAAAACTTACGGAAATTGGACATTAGGTGAATGAGAAGACTGATTTGTAAGCTAGTAACCAATGCTAGAATTGGGAAACTGGTGGCCATATAACCTTTTAAGTGTGAGGATAAAAAAGTTGGCTTTGATTAGAATTTTAAATACTTTATCCATGGTCTTTGTGACCATTATGAATCCACTAGCCACCTTGGGAAAAATAGGGTTGGCTTTAAAAGTACATCATTAGTCGTTCCAAGTCCTAAGTCCTCTTGGGTCAACCCACTTAGGCATTCCCATAGGCTATTGAGAATAGTCATGTAGTTGGTGTCAATACAAGTCTGTGGTTTCCAATCTAATCCTTACATGTGTTATCCACAGTCCTTTTTCTCATCCTTACTCAAACTCCTCAAAATCTTTGCCATTCCATAAACTTGCCAGCCCATCAATTGTGCCACCTTGATGTTAAGTTTACCACTATTCTGTTTCCATTCTGTCTTTGCAGTAAAGAGGTTTCTGTTCTCCACGGTGAATTTTGAGTCTGTAGGAAATAGAGGAATTGCCCCAACTTTAAGATTGCTGACTTAATCCATAGTTTGATTTCAAAATCGAATTGCTGGTTTCCTTGAACCAGTTTTTATATTTTTTTCAGGGGTCTTAGGCTCAGTTAAATAATTTCCAGAAAAAGGCTCAAAACCTCTTGAGACCTAAATTCCTTTCCACTCAAAAAGAGATCCTAAACCATATATATACTTTGTGTGTTAGAAGTTGTTCAACTAAAGGATTAAATGTTTATTAAACCCCTGTTATCTTTTGTCATCTAATATTAATAAGCAAGCCAAATACCCTAACCTACACAAAATGTAATGGCAGAAACAGTCACTTTGAGAGAAAATAAAATGTATAGTACTTAGTCTTGAGAATTTTTGCTCTTGGTTCTTTGGTCCTTGCATGAATTAGAAAAACCCATTTAAATGTTTTTTCAAACTGAATGCTAGTTTGGGAAGGAGAAGAGGGGGAGGGTTCAGGCTAAATGTCAGTGTTCCTTTTTTCCAAAAAGGGCTTGCTTCTATTCTTGTTACCCTATAGTTTGTTCTCCACACTGTAGCTTTTTAAGTGTTGTCATACCAGTACTGGAAGCTGAAGTCCCAGATCCATGATCTTTATACTCTTCCCACCACTGGACTCATTTTCTACTGCTGTCCTCATTTGATATGGCAGGTTCCTTGCTGTTCCTCAGATGAGCCAAGCACTCTCCTAATGCCTTTATGAGAAAACTCCCAGTTCTTAGATGTCACCTTAAGAGGCTTTCCCTGACAATCCAACAAGCTGTTCTGTTTGCATTAATTCTAGATCAATGAGATTAAAACATACCCAAATCAATTAAAATTTTCTTAGAAATAGAGCAATTGGTTTCTCACAATCCATAACTGCAGGTACTAATGTTAACTCCCTTTTGCTGATGAGCACACAGACATAAAAAAGAAGGAACTTGCTCAAGGTCACAAAGTGGCTGAATTCATCCTCACAATAAGATTAAGTTCAAATTTTGACT